CTTTAGTGGATTAATTAGAATATAATCACACGGAGTTTGTTGGTGCCAAACGAATCGAACACTAATTCTTTGCAACAGTAATTAGCCACAAAAAATGCTTGAGGTGTGAAAATAAATAGAAGATTTAATTATGACGTATTTTCTTCTCTTCTTTAAGAAATGTACCTTTTAAAATGCAATAAGAAAAATATTGTGAACACCTAATTTTTGACCAAAACATAAAAATTTTACGCCCAATTTTAATACTTAAATATTATTATTTCAGTAGGGTTATATTTAAAATAAATTGAAAATTACAACAAATTATAAGCTCACTTTATGTTTAAAGTTTAATAAAGAAAGCTTTTGAATTTAACGTATTTTGTTTTAATCTTTCAAATTTTATCTAGTCTAAAAAATAATAATAGTCGTATATATCATGGAAAAGTAGAAGAAAAAATAATAATAATAATAATAAAGAATAAAAAGAAGAGTCCTAAAAATTTCAAATTACCTTACCTTTATCCTAATTACCCCCAACTTCCTTAACTTATTTACTAAAAATCCTCCTCCCATTTAGTTTTTTTTATTTTTTATTTTTTTTCTTTCTTTTCTTCCCCTCTTGCACGATCTTTTCTCTTTTTCTCTTTTTATTTTTTTATTTTTACACGTTTTTTTTCTTTTCTTTCTTTTTCTGTTCGTTCTTTCTTTATTTTATTTTATTCTTTTTTCTTCCTTTATCTCAATCCTAAAAATTCTCAACTAAATTTTAAATTAAATCCTAATCCCACTCCATCACGTTCCTTTTAATTAGCACCAGACTCACACCCCAAACTATTATAAAACATACGCTCAGTAAAGAAAAAATATACACAGACACACAGAAAAAAAATCACAGAGAGAAAAAGATAACAAAAAGTGAGTTTTATTTTGAAAATTAAGTCAGCGTTCAAGGTTTCACTCAAGGTTTCGGATTCGTGGCTCTTTAAAGTTAATATTAGCTATTAACTTTGGAAATCAGTAGATAGTAGCAGTTGTTTTTGTGGTATCGATTTTCGCAGCGAGGTAACTCTAAATTCTCGCATAATGTAGTTGGAATGCTCGTACGAAATTTGATTCCAATAATATGAAGTTTTCTGAGTCGCATGTTATTATTATCTACCATTGTTTGTGATGAATTTATGAATGCTTAGAAAAACGTAACCGTTTAAGTTTCTTGCTTTAGAATAATATAAAAATAAAAATAAAAGATGTATCATACATTTTTTTTAATTATTGTTTTATGCTCTTTAGATGTAATTAATATTGAAATTGGTTTCGTGATATTTAATTTTGAATAGCTAATGTTTCTTGGACCTTAGTTTTCACTTAAGAATTTTTTTTGTTGAAATTATTTGTAGACTTGTTAGATTAGGATATAAATTAGTGCTTTAGAAAACCTATGAGGAATGTGTTTTAGTCTTCTTCTTTTTTTAATATATTATTTTTGATAAAAAAATAGTTTGCCTTTAGAATAAGTGTTAAGATGATTATCGCTTTAATTCGAATTATTAAGATATATAATTAAGAGGATATATGAATATTTGTTTAGAGATTTATGGTTAAAAAAATAAATAATGAATAATTAAGAAAACTAATTTTTTTTTTAAAAATGAGAAAGCATAAAAAAAATATATATATATATATATATATATATATATATAAACAGAACATACGTAAACCGAAAAGAATAATAATAAAAAATAGAGCGTAACAGAAACAAAAAAAAGTTAAACCAAAAAGTAAGAAGAACAAAAAGAATAATAATAAAGAAAAAATGAAACAGAAAACGTAAGATGATTAAAACAATAAAATAAAATAAACAACAAAAAAAAAAAAAAAGAAGACGAGAAACAGAATGTCCAAAAAGAATAAAAAAAATATTAAAAATAAATAAATAAAGGATAAAGTAAAAAAAAAAAAAACGTAAAAAAAATAAATAATACAAAGAGACAAAACAAAAATAAAAAAAATAAAATAATAACTAATAAAACCAAAACGTCAAAAAAGGGATAAAAAGTAAAGAAAAAAAAAATTAAAAAATTAAGAAGGAAAAAATCTTTCTAAAAAATAGTCCTAATCTATTTAGAATTTCTTGCTAAAACTAATTCCAAATCACATAAAAATTTTATTTCTATTTCTAATCTAACTAAGAAAATACAATCCTAAAATACTCAAACTCAAAAAAATTTCAATCCCACACAAATTCTAATTCCTAGCAATTAGATACCCATATATTTTCTATCCACAATAAAAATAAAATAAAATACAAATACATGAAAAAGAAAAGGAGAAGAAAAGAAATTACCAGACAAATCAAGATTTGTAAATATCCATCTATTAATTTTACTTTATTATGTTTGAATAAATTTATGTGATATACATTCTTTTTAATTAACGAAAATATATTAATATAATATAAATAGGTTTAAAATAAACCAAATAATGAGGTAAATAACTTTTATTATTAAGTTAATAATACAATATCTGAAAATTAATTTAAGTCATATATAGTCAATGAAGCGACCGTGCTAGAACCACGGGACTCGAGGGGTGCCTAATACCTTCCCCTTGGTCAACAGAATTCCTTACCCGATCTTTGTTCTCGCAGACCAATAAAAATAAAGAGTCAAATTTCCTTTTGATTAGGGGTTTAAATAATAAGGTGACTTGGAACACCAAAACTCAATTCCAAGTGGCGACTCTGAATAATAAAATAATCCCTTTTCAAAAATGTCACTTTAATTGGAGAAACTCTTTTTCTTTCAAAACATACTTAAATTAAATATTGAGGAAAAAAGGGGTGTGACAAATATTATCCTGTGTTTATGCATGTTCAAAGAAGAATCAAGAGGGTTATAATCTAATACAATAATTAATTTTCATTAAGATTTAATTTCTTTATTTATTTTTGTAAATACATATAAAAAAACCCTCTTTGACAAAAGTTTTCATGAGTTACATATTAATTCAGTTTTTCAATGAACTTAATTGGACAAATTAAAATATGTTGAATCAATAAATGAGCAAATTAATAATCCATTCAATCTTAAATAAAATGAATGAATCATATTTTCATGAGCTAATTTTATCACTCTGAACGGACTATATTGGGTGAGGGATTAACTTTGCATAAGAGAGACATTGCAAGTGGCGGGGGAACATGGAGAAAAAAGTGAAGTTGAAGATTAATCCCCCATCACAAATTTCGTATCACAATGATCCATCTATATTAATATCATATTCCAATTTTTGGATATTATTCCTATTATTTTCTTGGTCATGTAAATGGGCATTGGACACACCCCAAAAGCTTTAGCATTATTCTTATTTCTAGTCAAATCACAAGTATAGAAATAGATATAATAACGGCAATTTAGAGTTCCCTATTAAGCTTATATACTTCATTTTATCATATTACAAATGGAGTATTATAAAAAAGAAGAAAAAATTGCACTAAAAATATCTATGGAATATCTGATGTCATACATATATGTATACTGCATACGCCACCATGAAAAAAAAAGTTATTCCCTCGGTCTATAATTATATCACGTTTAGCTTATTTTGAAAAGTATTTTTGAGGAGAAATAGTATGTGTTTAACTAGAGTAATAAATTTAAAAAAAACTTTTGAGCATCAATTAATATTTGGCAAATTTTTTTTACAAATAAAATTTCTGAGTGTATTCTTTTCATAGTATTTTTTTTTTTTTAAAAAAAAAAAACATACCATCTTTAACTTCTAGGAGTAAAAACAACTTTTGTAATTTTTCAAAAATACTATTTTCTTTCAAAAGTTGATCAAGCACCTCACTTTTTTAAGATAAATACTTTTGGAAGAAAAAAGTAACAAAATTTAAGAACAAAAAAAAGGGTCTCGACACGTATCAAAGTACTTTTAGTATTTGTAATTTTAAAATGTCATAACATTTTTAAAGTTATATGCATAAATACAACCAAGATTGCAACTTTAAAAATTCTCTATACAAAAACCTTCGTCCATTGCTATAAAAGCATGTTATATTATTGGTGGAAGAGTCAAAGGGAACAAATATCATATCATGTTATAAATAAATGGAATCAAAGCAAGTATCTAAAAGTGGAAAGAGTTATGCCTCCCTATACAGTTGGTACCATTTTTGGACTTCCCCTTTATGGAATTGCAGCCTTTTGTTTATAAGTAAGTTTGGATCAGCCAAGTTTTAATAGTTAAAAAGCGTTTATAAGTTACTTTTTATAAGTTTATTCAAACATACACCATATAAATTCTAGCAAATGTATACATAATTTGTCATTTTGATTAATTTCATAAGTTGGATTTGAAGGTGATATGTCTATCTAATGTTTGTGATGGACTCTCGACTTAATTAAGTTAAAATATCCTCATTAACACACTACTCAAAGTTGCATTTTCCCAAAAATAAAAATATTAAACCGTCATCGCTTACGCACCAGAAAACTCAGATGCATATGGACTTTAAACGCTATAAGTGGGAATTTTAACTTTATGAAGGAATTTTAGAAAATTTGAGAAGCATAAAATTTAGTAAGATTTTGAGGCATCTTAATTTTGAGCACCTGTTGACACCTGTCCTGCAATATGCATTTACAATTCGTTTTAAGACTTATTCCCTCACCTTTTCTTCTTAGATTGGAATATCCATTGATATATCAATAGTGAGGGAACAAAAATAATGAGATTAGATATATAAGCATCTAGAAATTAGAAAATTATTTGTTTACTACAATAAAAATGTACTATCACCCAAATTTGCTTATTTTTATTTTTTTTTATAAAAAGAAAAGAAGGAAATAAGGGTCAATGTATCCAGAAGCAAGACTTAATTCACCTCTCATTGAAGGTGTTTATTTTTTTAAACATTGAACAAAAGCAGTGCTTACACCACTTAACACAGACACTGCATTCTTTCAGCAGTAAGTCCAAAAACATAACACTTTTTTTTTTTTGTCTTAAAAAGGCTAAACACCTAGTAACTGAGTTTAACTCCCACTTTAAAGTCCCTCCTCAATGTCCACTAAATATTCATCTATGTCAAACTCAGGTTCAGGGGATAAATTAATCAGAGGTGGTAGCATGAAAGGTGCTGGAATTCCTTGGGCACTGATGAAAGAAGCCTACATAAATAACATAAAAAAAAATTAGGTTGTGATAGTTCTCAGAAAGGGTTCAACTTATTATTTGGGGGATGAAGATAAGCAAACCACCAAATTCGCCTAAACAGTTCGTTACTATTAATTCGGATGAAGGTCTACAAGGTAGTTTCACTTACTGGGATGTTATTAGGTTGACCCATTTGATAAGTTGGGTGAAATTCATTTCCTTGGCCATCATTTGCCTCCGCCTGCACCTGAAATTGGCATTGTAGCTAGTGATATATTACTACTTTAAACCACAAGATAACTAGCAAAAAGTTCCATAATTCATGTCAGGATTCAAATACATGGATCAAAATATGCAATTATCTGTGTGAAGTTGGACATTGACTATTCTTTTAGATTGAAACAAATATACATATTTTGAGACAACAAATAAGGTAGTACTCCAAGAAATTAAAATTACAACAGTTTAGGATTCAAAATATGTACAGAGGAAAAAATCAGTTTGACACTCTTAGTAATCGAGTCATATAAAATATATAGAGGAAGCATTTTGCAGGAAGTACATGTACGGGTTTATGAAGTTTAAATCACCTCATAGTTTTTTTAAGATGAACAATACCAAAAAATAGCCGAGATAAACAGCACGCTACTGTCAATAGTGATGAAGGTTTTGCACATGTAGTTCTGAAAGTCATTATAACTCACCGAAATGTTATTAGGCTGAACATTATAAGCTGGGCCAAATTCATTGCCTTGGCCATCATTTTCCTCACCTCGCACCTGAAATTGGTACAGCTGCTTCAATTTTAGTACTTTAAACTATAAGATAATTAGTAGACATTCCAAATTCATGACAGGATTCAAATACAAGGATCAAAATATGCAATTACATGTGTGAAGTTGAACATTGGCTTCTAAATTAAATTGAAACAAAATTTACATATTGTGAGACTATTTAAAAGCTACTACCCCATAAAACTCAAAAGAGGTAGACAGCAAAGATAGTTTTGAGTCTCTTAGGTAGTAATGATGGCAGGTACCAAAATGATGAATAATGTGTTTCTAGGGCAGAAAAAAATAAAGAAGGATGGAGAGAAATGGAGAAAGAAAAGATTTTTGGAGATGTCACCACAAGTACGACTTATTGAAGTTTAAATTTCTTTTTATATATACACATATATACGTGTGTGGGCATTTGTGTGTGTGTGGAGGGGGGGCTGACTTGTAGTGCAACGCCTAGGCAGTGCGTGAAGGCCCAGGTAGCAGCAAGCTACCTAAGTGAGTCTCCCCCTCTGAAAAAAATGTTAATATCATGTGGACCAATGGCCCACATATCAGATGTTTTATATTGATAAGAGCAGATATTGTACCTCATTGTTTTTTAGAAAAAATAACACTACAAATTACCCAGGATAAACAATATGCTAGTGTTATTTGGATTTAGATAAAGTTTGCAAGGTATTTTAAACATGCAGTGTTGAAAGTCACAATCACTCACTGGAATGTTATGAGGCTGAACCATTTGATTAGCCAGGTGAAATTTATTTCCTTGCACATCATCTGCCTCTTCCATTAAAAAATCATCAATGTTGAACTGCGCTTCAGGAGATAAATTAGTCAGAGGCGCTGGAATTGCTTGGTTACTGATGAAAGAAGCCTACATAAATAACATCAAAAAATTAGGTTTCGTTAGTTCTCAGCAAGTGTTCAACTTATTTTTCGGGGGATGAAGATAAGAAACCACCAAATTCGCCTAAATAGTTTGTTGCTGTTAATTCGAATGAAGGTTTACAAGGTAGTTTCACTTACTGGAATTTTCTGAGGCTGAACCATTTGACACGCCGGGTGAAATTCATTTCCTTGGCTACCATTCGCATCCTCTTCTACCTGAAATTGGTACTTCAGCTAGAGTTATTTTAGTTCTTTAAACTGTAAGTTAATTAATAAATGTTCCAAAATTCATGGCAGGATTCACTTACATGAATCAAAATATGTAATTATCCATGTGAAGTTGAATATGACTCCTCAGTTAGATCGAAATACAATTTTATATATTTTAACACTAGAAAAAAGGTAATACTCTATAAAATTAAGATAACAATATTTTAGGATTCAAAATAGGTAGACAAGAAAAAATTGGTTCAACTCTATATAGTCGTAATGTCATATAAATAAAAATATATCGAGGAAGTATTTTTGCAGGAAGCAGAAGTACAACTTTATGAAGTTTAAATCACCAAATAGTGTTTTTAGCATAAACAACACCGACAAAATAGACTGGATAAACAGCACTTACTGGAATGTTACAAGGTTGAACCACTTGATAAGCTGCGTTAGATTCATTTCCTTGGCCATCATTTGCCTCCTTTTGCACCTGAAATTGGCACGGTAGCTAGTGCTATTTTAGTACTTTAAACTTCAAGACAACTAACAAACGTTCCAAAATTCATGTCGGGATTCAAATACATGGTTCAAAATATGTAATTATCTCTGTGAAGTTGAACATTAACTCTTCATTTCGATCGAAATAAAATATACATATTTTGAGACTACAAAAAAGGTACTTCTCCATAAAATTTAGATTACAACATTTTAGGATTTAAAATAGGTAGACAGGAAAAGATCGGTTTGACTCTCTGAGTAGTAATCGTGTTATACAAAATATATAGAGGGAGTATTTTTGCAAGAAGTACAAGTACGACTTTATGAAGTTTATATCACCAAATAGTGTTTTTAGGATTAACAACACCAACAAATTAGCTAGGATAAGTAGCACTCACTGGAGGCTTATTTGGTTGAACCATTTGATAAGCTGGGTGAACTTCATTTCCTTGGCCATCATTTGCCTTGTCCTGCACCTGAAATTGGCACTGTAGCTCGTTCCAATTTAGTACTTTAAACTGTAAGATAACTAACAAACATCACAAATTCATGGCAGGATTCAAATACATGGACCAAAATATGTAAATATTTGTGTGAAGTTGAACACTGACTCTTCACTTGGATCAAAATAAAATTTACATATTTTGGGACTACAAAAAGATACTGCTCCAAAAAATTACAATAGTTTAGGATTCAAAATAGGTAGATAGGAATAGACCAGTTTGACTCTCTGATTAGTAATCGTGTCATATAAAATATATATAGAGGAAATATAAAATATATAGAGGAAGTACAATATTGCGGGATACAAAAGAGGTAGACAGCCAAAGACCGTTCCAACATTCTAAGAAGTGATAATATCATATAAAATATATAGAGGTCGGTCAGAAGTACAAGTACGACATTATGAAGTTTAAATTTCATTTATATATATATATATGGGGACACCAAGCCTGACTTGTAGTGCAACGACTAGGCGCAGCAAAGGCCCAGGTAAGCAAGCTATCTTAGTGAGCCTTCCCCCTGAAGAAAATGTCAATATCATGATGACCAATGGGCCACGTATAAGATATTAAATTGATAAGAGCATACATTGTACCTCATTGCTTTTTATGATGATCAATATGCTATTTTTATTTGGAATAAAGTTTACATGGTACTATGTACGGTTGAAAGTCACTATCACTCACTGGAATGTTATGAGGCTGAACCATTCGATTAGCAAAGTCAAATTTATTTCCTTGGACATCATTTTCCTCTTCCACCTGAAACAGGTATGGTAGTTAGTGTAATTTTAGTACTTTAAACTGCAAGATAATTAATAGATGCTCAATGATTTGTGATGGATCGATGAATAGGGGATCAGAATATTTAACAATCAGTGTGAAGGTCAACATTGACTCTCAATTTTATCAAAATAAATTTACCTATTCTGAGACTATGTAAAGTGCACAGAGTAGAATTCAAATTAAAATATTAGGATTCAAAATAGGTAGACAGACTTACTGGGATGTTATTAGGCTGAAACATTTGACAGGCTGAGTGAAATTCATTTCCTTGGCCAACATTTGCGTCCTCTTCTACCTGAAAGTCGTACTGTAGCTAGTTAATAAATGTTCCAAAATTCATGGCGGGATTCAAATACATGGATCAAAATATGTAATTATCCATGTAAAGTTGAACATTGACTCCTCATTTAGATCGAAATACAATTTTGTATATTTAAAGAATAGAAAAAACATACTACTACATAAAATTAAGATAACAATATTTTAGGATTCAAAATAGGTAGACAAGAAAAATCGGTTCGACTCTAAATAGTCATAATGTCATATAAATAAAAAATATATCGAGGAAGTATTTTTTCGGGAAGCACAAGTACGACTTTGTGAAGCTTAAATCACCTAATAGTTTTTTTAGCATAAACAATACCAACAAAATAGCCTGGATAAACAGCACTCACTGGAATGTTATTAGGTTGAAGCACTTGATAAGCTGGGTGAGATTCATTTCCTTGTCCATCATTTGCCTCTTGCACCTGATATTGGCACTGTAGCTAGTGTTATTTAGTACTTTAAACTGTAAGATAACTATAACAAACATTCCAAAATTCATAGCAGGATTCAACTACATGGATCAAAATATGATCGTTTGAGAAATCGTTAGTATCGTCAATTGGTGCTTTGGAGTATGTAATTATCTCTGTGAAGTTGAACACCGACTCTTCATTTAGATCAAAATAAAATTTAAATATTTTGGGACTACAAAAAGGTACTACTCCACAAAATTTTAAGGCTAAATAACTTAATATGTTTTGTAAGATAGCCACTCAAACTTAGTCTGTGAAAAAATAGACACTAGAACTAAGCAAAAGTGTGTGCATCTAAGAGCAATTGTGTGCTTCTACTGTGTTAAATAGACTAAAAATATAAGTATAACTAAAAAATAAAATAAATACAATAAGAATAAAGAAATGCAACCCTGCACCCCAAGATCATCCCCTCCATTTCCCCATCCCCATACTGTCCGCTCATTTCTCATACCAGAGACATCCTTCACTTCATAATTATGGAGTCTTCTCCTTGTCTTGATCTTTATCTGTATTCCTGATTTATTTTTCACCTTCATTTGCTGGCAGAGTAATTTTTCCAATGCAAACCCAATTGAAAATTTTTTGGATAAAAGTTCTGTCATCACCTTCGCGAGAAAATTGATACATGAAAAGGAGAATCATTATTGTGTTGTATTTTTCTCTTTGTTGGAAGAGTTGAAGGAATCTAGAAGAAGCTATGAGTGGAAGTGGTGGCGCTCCATGTTATACATTTGTGTCTATAAGACAGTTCTTTTCAAGCGTATCCAGTCACTTGCTAAGTTTTGAGTGTTTATTTTACAAAATGTGCCAAGTTTAAGGGGCTATTTAGGGCATTTGGCAAAATTTAAATTACACTAGTTAGGATTCAAAATAGGTAGACAGTAAAAACATCAGTTTTGACTCTCTCAGCAGTAACGTGTCATATAAGATATAGAGGAAGTATTTTGCAGGAAGTACGAGTACAACTTTCTGAGCTTAAATCACCTAATAGTTTTTTTAGGATAAACAACACCAACAAATTTGCCTGGACAAACAGCACTGACTGAAATGTTATTAGATTGAACCACCTGATAAGCTGGGTTAGAGTCATTTCCTTGGCCATCATTTGCCTCCTTTTGCACCTGAAATTGGCACTGTAGCTAGTCCTATTTTAGAACTTTAAACTTTAAGAAAACTAACAAACGCTCCAAAATTCATGTCGGGATTCAGATATATGGTTCAAAATATGTATTGCAGGATACAGAAGAGGTATACTAATATATAAACCAACCTTAGATGTCTGGAGTGGAACGATGTCAGAGAGGAAATCGAAAAGCTCTTCATCCATTATGGCCCTAGCAAAGTCATAACGCTTCAGAGTTCGGCATTTGCCTTGATCAGCTTGCATCCACGCACGAAGGGTGAGCTCCATGCTGAACATCTCAATTGCTTTCGAAAGCAAAACCGTAGAATGTGCGCTAACCATCTGAATTTACTCATTCCCAATAATGGTTAAAAAAACTGAAGTACCCACTCCCCAGTTAGAGACAGCAGATCAATAAAAGTTAAGACAAGTAGTAAATCAAATGTTTCAAGTTCCAACTACTAGCAAGTGAAGAAAATAAAATAAATTAAAAGTTGCAACCACGGCTAATGTCAATGGAATAAGTCAGAGCCATGAACATACCTTTACTTGATCATTTGACTTCATAGCCCGTCTGATCCTTGAAATGGGCATCTCAGGTTTTCTCTTTGGATCTACAGATAAAATGAAGCGGCTGCATGAAGCTAAAATCAACAGGAAAAAACAGCAGCATATGTATTATTGCAAAATTTCCATATATGACATATCTTTATGCAATGATTCGAGATACTTCTAACAAAATCAATATATGTGAGGGCCGTGGCTGGTCTTAAAATGGCCCAAAGCTTAAGAATATCGTTAGATTACTCATGAATGGAATATATCAGAAGTCTCTGTAGGTAAACATGTGTGAGGAGCCAAAAAACACCTGCACGTAGAATTTCTTCCTTTTGTCGATTCCAGAAACAGGAGAGATTTTCTTTTAGCAATTGCATAAACCTTGGGTCCCTTTCATCTTCATCCTACATATACAAGGAAACCAAAGGGACAAATCTCAGGTTAAATCAAACGGTATCTATATGCAAAAAGTTCCTCATGAAAACTAGACTTTATTGTATTGATTACCTGCTGAATTTTGTTGTTACTTGGCATGGAGCTATGCATACGAATCGGTATTTGCAATTCTGAAGGTAGTGCTGATGAGGATTTTGGGAGTTCCATTAACGAACTATCAAAATCCATGTCTTCTCTATATTGGATCATATCAGGGGAAGAAGGGCCTTTAAATAGCAGGAGCACCATGTCGTAACACCCTTTTCCTTCTTGCCCCCACCCCCAAGAGAGTTACTAGGCATTAATTTTGAAGTCATCGCTAGTTCCATATTTATTAAGATTAGTTCTAAGATGTGTTCATCATTAATAAAGAAACGACCCTTCATTTAACCATTGATTGGATTTCTTTATGAAGACGTGTGAACAATAAATGTTTATTTGTCGTGCTCTAGATGTTTGACCTCGAGAGTACCTTACAAATAGAATCACACATTTCAACAACAACAACATATCCAATGTAATCCAAAAAAGTGGGTTCTGACCTTACCCCTACTTTAGGAGTAGAGAGGTTGTTACCAATAGACCCTCAGAGCAAGAAAAAACAGTCAAAAGCAGATCGAAAAAAAGGAAATACCGAAAATGAAGAAGCAATGGCAAAATACCAGACAGTATGATAAAGCATTGAACTGTACAACAAAATAATGCTACGACTGCTATAATCATGGGACGAATCTATGACATGGTTAAGCTAAGGATCTCTAACGTTAGTGGTAAATATTGTTATTTAGAATTAAAAACAATACTATTTACTTTGTTGTTTGCAGAAAGAACTGGCACACCCAAGTTGATCGATCATAGTCCATATAAAATTCCTGTATAATTTCCCACCAGTGCTACAGTGTATTACACTCTCAGTTCTTTTTCATCATTACCTGACAACAAAAGGTTCCAAAATCTGGGTGATAATAGTTCACAGACCACAAATTTCACATGGAAGTTATATGCACTTCCACAAAATTATGGAAACAGAATTCTACTCCCAAAAAATAACAACAACTACATAGCCAGTTAAATCCCACAAGTGGGGCCCGGGATGGTAGATCTATTATTTGTGGCCAATAAGCAGTAAAATCATTCAAATCAGAATTATGAAAGAAGTCAAGAACTAAACAAAGGTATAAGAAAATAAATGTTAATACTGTTGCTTTGCCTCAACATCACTGCCAACTAATGTTGGTGCAAAAAATGTACAATAAATCACTTAATTAATCTACTGTAACAAGCTTCATAAACATGTTTAGTGAAATATTTTGATGTCTAAAGAATGTCCAGCAAAAATCATAATGACAATCATGCGAACTTGAAGAAACAATGATAGCAAGGTAAATCACATCAAGCTTAGATTTGGACGTACCAATTTATTCTTAAGCATCTTCAAAAGGACTGATCGAAGGATTGTGCAACTCTATAATGTAATAAAGTGATCTCAAAATCAGAATGAAAATCATACAAACTTTTAAAATATATTATCAAAGAAATGAAATAGCAATCTTAAATTTGGACCTGTCCAAGTTGTTCTTGAGCATCTTCCAAAAGGAGAGCCGAAGGAATGTGCAATCCTCCAATATGATAACATCATTTTCCTTTGTTAAGTAGCTAATAGGATCAGCAAACATATGTGTTATGCCACACATGGTAATACATAATAATGTTAATAAGAAAAAAATATCAAGATCATCAGAAACAGATAACAAATACAATGCAATCACACTAATCAAATAACATGAGTTCAAAGTACTTAGAGTTTCAGTTATCAGGTGGGTCATGGGTCATCTAAAAAACGAGGAACGTTTTCCTTTCCTTGAGGATTTACAGGATCAATCAAGTTAATGGAAATTGGGGTTTTCTTGATTTTTTTAACATAAAGTTGAATATATATACACTCATATAGCATACAAAAAGAAACAGCACCTGGGATATCTCAATTGGATTACCTAGGAAAAAAAATGTGCTTCTTTGGTGATTGCTACATGATTGTTACAAGGTGAATTAGAGATTTCAAATTTTTAAAATTTCAAGAAATCAAGATAATATTCCATATTATGACTTGCCAACTAGATTTTCTTCAAAACATTGTAAGTATTATATGTGACTTGCCGACTAGATTTTCTTCAGAAATTGGGGCTTTCTTGATTTGAGAACATAAAGTTGAATATATATGGCATGCATCCAAATAGAAAGAAACAGCACCTAGGATAACTCAATTTGATTACCTAGTGCAAGAAATTGCTCATTTTGGTGGATGAATTAGAGATTTCAAATTTCAAGAAATCAAGATAATGTTCAATATTGTGACTTGCCGAGTAGATTTTCTTCATAACATTGTAAGTATTACGGTCAAAAATATTATAGTACTACTACTTTTCTTACTAACCAGAAAGAAGAAGCAAAACCTAATGTGTAAGAAGTAGTTTTCTTCTCCGTCGATTCAACGCAACTCCATTTGTCGAGTTCAAGATAGCACCAAATAATTTTTTATTGCAAATTCTGGACGAATTTTGCGACAAGATATCATCGGACGATTTCAAGAACACCATTTTCTTAGCTATCCTTCACAATTCTGAGAGCAAACGCGTTTGTTCGCCTTACTGAGACTACCGAGTTTGCCACAATTTAAATACATTGTTTCCGTGGTGAATGGACAATGTAAGCTTTATTTTTTTGCGGTAAATAAAAATATCAGTATATAATTAGTTAATATATATGATTTTGAACAAATTGAATAGTTTTAAGATATGTATCAAGTGTGTCTGGTAGGGATTAGGAAGAGAAATAATTTTCAAGACTCTCTTTAACTTCATCACACATGTTACCACCAACTAATTCACCTCGATGGCACACACGCTTTGCCTGCTCCCTACCCCACTTTCCGCTCAAACCCGTACCTACATTTGTGATTTGAATCAGGTTTCTACTTATGTATGGGAGATTCGACTTAACTCATGATTTGAACCTAATTTGGGACCTAACTCCCGACTTTGCCCTAATGTAAGACTTGACTCAACCTGGAACTTTGATCCTGATTTGGGATCCAACTTCGACCTTGACCCAAGATTCACCCCGACCTAGAGCTTTATCTTTACTCTAGATTTGAGCATAACCCAAAACACCTTGATTAAAGATAGTATTGTTGACACTAAATTTTGGTACATTTCGTTTCTTATAATTAAGAAATATCACAGAGATTCTTATTCCTGATCAATTTATCAATTTACATTCACATATTTTTAACACTAATTTCAATCAATAAATCCCCAAAAAAACTACCCTCTACCTTATTTTTAAATATTTTAATTAATTATAATTAATTGCTTTTATATTTAAAAAATTGCACAAAACATGTTGATACTTTAGTTCAAATATGCGCGCATCCATTTTTTTTTTTAACTCTATTATTATAACTTGAAATAAATCAATAGTTTACCCTACAATATTTATGCCAAATACGTATACTAAATTACTATAATAGTTATATAGTTTGTGCATATATTTTGGAAGATTAATTAGGATAAAAAACAATCATTAATATATCATTTAAGAAAAAAAATCAAATTCGAATTTAATCTAAACCAGTTTCCCTTTTTTTTAAAAATAAAATAAAATAAAATAAAAATCTGAACTAGTTCAAAATTGAAAGTGTGATGTATTTAGGACCCAATTTAATCATCAAAATTTCGAAATAAGAACTGGCCCAAATACGGACCCAATCCAGCCCAATCCCATCCAACTCAAACATCCCTACCTTTTCTTTTCTCCAATCAGAATCTGCCACGTCATTGAAAAATGAAAGAAGCACAACCTCACCCACAGAATATTTTGATCCAACGGTTCACAAATGTCCATCCTTTAAATCATTTTCATAGATGATGATTCGGCGGCCCAAGTTGATTCTAAACCAAATCAGATTTTTAATCACCAAAACCCTAGAATCTAATTATTTCCAAAAAAAATTGAAACGCTTCCCCTATTTAATCAATTATTTTAATAATAAAAATTACTAATAACTATAGAGTTGAGAAGTAATATGAAACTAGTGCTTCATTAAACTCGTCCACATTACAAGAGATCAGCATATATAATGCACACATTTGTTACTAATAAATTGCAGCAAACGATTAATTAGAAATACTTAAGCAACTGCCTTGGGTTCAGGACTCTCTCCTTCACACACAAAATCACCTTCTTGATCGAAATAGTAGCAACCCTGGTAGCCGGTGCAACAGGTGGTGCATCCCGTGGGTTTAATTATCATCTTTCCTTCAGAACGAGGACATTTTGAATAGGCAATTTGTGTATCACACTCATAGGAACAATCATTTGGGTTTCTGGGGTCAGACTCCCCTTCACAAACTAAATCTCCGTTAGCATTGTAATATTTGCAACCCTTGTAGCCCGAGCAACAATTGGTGCATATGGGCTTTTCCGGACTTCCTTCGGAACGTGGGCATAGTCCATACCCAAAATTACCACATATTCTTGGACACACCTTGGCATCAACAGTGTTTACAAGAAGAAACATCCCTACAACAAATATATGTTAATTAATGATGGAAAATCAACACTACATTTGTATGTATCAAAGAAGATAAAAAGAAAAAAAGACAAAGAGAAAATGTTACCAAGAACAAGTAGGCAAGCAATGAAGCTAACTTTGTGAACAGCCATTATGAATGCTTTTTCTATCTTGTTTTCTTTGTTGTTGAATTTTGAGTGAGGAGCTCTATCTTTCTCCACCTATTTATAGCAAAACGAGCTACTTTCTACGTTCAATTTTATTGATTATTATTTTAATAGTAAAATTATCACTTTTAACATGTCAAAAGAATACTTTTAACGTATAAAGTTATTATGGGCAAATTTAAGTGAAAAAAAATATTATTTGATATGAAATACAACTAACAAAAATTGTGTGACACACCTATAGTTATTACTTATTAGACACAACCAAGAGAATCGAAGTTGCATGAGGTAGCTATAGTTGTTAAAAATGTAAAATCTATTTCATTGGCACGTTTTTGTTATGGATATATAATATCTTGTGGGTTCTGTTAGCATATTCTAACATTATTATAATACATTTTGGTATAAAGAGAATCCAATTTTCTCACATTTGGTTGACTTAAATGTCAAATTTGAGAAAATGACTTACCTTTAAAAATTAAGAAAAAAATATTTTTCAAAATTCTACTTCATTCTTAAATATTTTTTTTCTTACCTTACCCCGTATCCGACTGATTTTTTGTAATTTTCCTATTTTTAAAATTTCAAATATTTTTTTACCCCTACCCACACATAAAAAAATTAAAAATCATTTTTGAAAAATATTTCAAACTTTAAGATTTGTTTTTACCTCACCCAACACCTACGCCCACACACACACAAATTATTTTGGTTAAATATTTCAAATTTTTTTTTTCCAAAAAGTCACTTTTTACCCCCCGCCACCCTCCGTCAAAAAAAAAAACAAAATTTTGACATTTAATTCAAATTTTAAAAAAATTCCAACACCCCCCCCCCCGCCGTCACCCCCTCCCCAATAAAAAAAAATTATTTAAAAAAATATATATATATATATTTCATTTTACGCCATCCTTACCCCTACCCTAGCCATCCCCCAACCACCACCCCTGTCAATTTTTTTAAAAAAAAAATTATTATTTTTGAAAAATAATTCACATTTTTAAAATTCATTTTTTCACCACCGGGTCAAAAATTATTTTTCTAAAGTGTATTTTCTAGTCTCAATCCAAAAAAAAAATCTGAAAATATTTTTCATTCACCAACCAAACATGAAAAAATAAGTTAAAATTCCACTTATTTTTTCAGGAAAACATTTTTCTTCGTACCAAACACACCTTATATTTAGTACTAGTCGAATATTTTTATATTTATATTTATAGAGAGTAATTTAGGTTTCAAAAGGACAAGTCACGGACTGGGGTCTCCAACAAGCAAAATGATGGCAGGAAAGATTTTTGAAGGAAAAGGAGACATCATATCATCATGTCGACATATTTTAGTTTGATATATACTTTTCAGGGAAATTAATATTAAAGAAAAAAATTAGTTTTCTAGTAAAGTTTTTGTTGTATTCTACAAATGGAAATAGTTTTCCGATAAGCATTTTTGTTGCATTATAGACGGTTTGGCCAAAAAAAGTAGAAGTGGTTTTGGGAGGAAACTTGAATTTTCAAAAATTTGGGAGGATCATTTCTCACACAAATACATTTTTATTCTTTTCACAAAATTGATACTAATATTTATCTATTGACATCTATGTTATATCGATAACACATCTTATACAAAAGTTGCAAATGTTTTTTAAATTTTATTTTCACCATTACCCTTCAACCGTAGACCAACAATGAACAATGTAGAGACTATCGAAGGAGTTATTATTCAATTTATAAAATTAAAATAAAACTAAAAAATCTCATTTTATCCTTAAATTCTTTTTAAGAATATAAGCATTATAAAATTCCAAAAAAAATAAATTTCTCTATTCTTAATTTTGAAATTAATGAATAATAAGATACATATATAAGATATTTTTTGAAAAAGTTCAAAGATAAACAACAATTTTTTATACTCCCTCTATCTCAATTTATGTAACACATTTCATTTTTTTTAGAGTCAAATGGTTTAAATTTGATCGAAAATTTGCGCAAGAAATCTTCAAAAAAAAAATTGAAATAAAATTTATATATTTTTAAACTACGTAAAAAGTATTATAAGTCACAATAATTGACATTTCACAATATTTAAAAAATATATGAAAAATTTACAATAAAAAATAGACTTATTTAAGTCTCGAAATTCGAAATGTGTCACGTAAATTTGAGACGGGTGACTAATTTTAATTTCCTAAAGAGTGGGAGTATACACATATAAAACGTGCAAATAAAGTTAGTCAAAAGTATTTAGTGGGCTCAGACTCAGTTATCTGGCTCTCACTAGCTCCCTTTTCACTTTATCTGACAAAAAAATTCATAAGAAATTATATTTTTATTTGTTTAGCATTAATTTGATATTTCTAAAGAATAATAAATTTATTATATTATTTTTAAAATTAAAATAATTTAAATATTATAAAAATATATTAAGAAATAGCTATAGTTAATAAATAAGGATCTATTTTTCGTATAACGAACAAATAAAAATAAACTAAAGGAGTAATTAATCATGGCTTAACCTGACTTTCTAAATAATGTGATATTGCTTATGAAACATAAGAACAAGAAGCTAGGTTTTTTTATGAAACATGTAACTATGGGTACACAAGGGGGAACGGGACGACTAAGAACACATTTGAGAAAGTGTAATAAAGAATTTGCTCGCCTAGATGATATAGAAAGGGCTAATAGAAATGGAATACCTCAACCTGAAAAATCTATGGGAGCTGGAGGTTCTAATATGGTTCAAAGTGTATTAAATATGACTAACCCGGCTAGCCGAAGCACACACCGCACATATAGTAAAGAAAAAGATCGTAGAGAATTAGCTAAAATGGTTGTTGTTTGTGGTTTGCCTTTTTCATTTCCTTCACATCCTGGTTTTATTCAGTATATTCGGGAATTGTATAACCCAGATTATGAAGGTATTCCAAGAAGTACAATTAAAAGTGATCTTTTTAAATATCAAAAAGAATATTGTCATTTTCTTCGTTGTTTATTTGTTTATTATGATGGTAGATTATCTATTACTTCTGTTATGGGACGTAGTCCTAATGGTAATGATTATTTTACAATTACTGTCCATTGGATTGACCATGAATGGAACATGCAAAAACGAATATTAGGATATAAATATGTTGAAGAAACTAAAACCGGTGCTTATATAGCAACAAAAATAGGCCTTGTTTTACAATTTTATGGAATATGTGATAAAATAATGAGTGTCACTTTAGATAATGCTTCTAATAATTTGAAAGCAATTGATTATTTAAAATGTAGACTTTGTCCAATTGATAATGATTCTTTTCATATTAAGTGTGCCGCACATGTGTATAATTTGATAGTAAAAGATGGTATTTCTCAATTTGGAATTTCTTGTGAAAAAATTAGACTTGCTTGTAATTGGATTTTTAAAGCTAAAATAAAAGCTAGAATTACAAAATTTAAAAATCGTTGTAAAGAATGTGGACTTGAATATAGAAAAGTTCCAAAAGAAGTATGCACTAGATGGAATTCTTTATTTGAAATGCTTCAAGTTGCTTATATTTATCAAGAGCCGGTACAATTAGATTTTAATGCTCATAATGCGGACCCGAATTTGAGAATTGGCTATGAAGATTGGGAAAATACAAAAGAACTTATTGAATTTTTAAGTGTTTTTTATAAAGCAACAAATGCTGCTTCTGGTCAATATTATCCAACTATTTCTTCTGTTTTAGTAAATATTTGTGCTATTTCATCTGAATTTGCAAAATATAAAGGAAAAGATCGATTTGAAAATTCCCTTGCTTTTATGATTGAAAAATTCAAAAAATATTTTTTCCCTATTCCTCAAATCTATTTGACTGCTACTACTTTCAACCCAAATTACAAATTAAAAGGTGTTGAAGAATGGTTGAAAAGATTTATGCAAATTTAGAAATTAGAGATGATGAAACTCCTAGTGTTGAAGATTGTAAAAGTAGCATATATATAAAAGCTAGAGAGTTATATAATACATATAAATCTATGGAAAAAAATATTCCAATAGTTGAACCTCCATCTTGTAAACCTAGAAGCGATGATACGGATGATTGGATGGATGATTATCTTGAGCTTGAATCATCTACTAATAATGATTTTGATTTATATTTCAATCAGGCACGGGAAAAGATTAGGCATGAAGAAGGACAACTTCAAGCTCCAATATTAGTATGGTGGAAGAATCGTGAAAATCAATTTCCGACCCTTGCTAGGATTGTTCGAGATGTGCTAGCGATTCAAGTATCATCGGTCGCTTCAGAGCAAGCCTTTAGTGCGGCGAGATTTATGATTGGAGATCATCGATATTCATTAGCAAAGGATAGTTTGGAAATATCGGTGTTGTTTCGAGATTGGGTCAATGCCGAAAGAAGAAATACCGGACTACCACAATTAAATAGCCAAATAAAAGACGAAATAGATGAAATATTTGGTGATAATAGTGATGATGGTATGGAAGCAATGGAAGAAGAACGACAAATACAAGTTCCAAAAAATGTTTCTTTTGAAATGATACAAAAGTTACGAAAAGATTTTAAAAAGAGTTTCAATTGTTAGTACAATAATTAATATTCAATACCTAGATTATGTACTCTTTGTCTCTTTCTAATATTTGTATTGTACAATTTATTTATTTAAATAAATATACGGCTATTCGCCTTGATTTTCTTTTAAAATAGTCTCTTATATTTAATCCAAGTCATTTTAGAAATTTAATATTTAACTATTTTAATATTAGTTTAAAGTTTAAACTTTAATATAAAATTGAATTTTAAGATTTAAACTTTAAATTCAATATAAACTTTTAACTTTAAACTTTAAAGTCAATTTTAAACTTTAAATTCAATATAAAGTTATAAAGTTTAAAATTTAAAGTCAATTTTAAACTTTAAAGTTTAAAGTTTAAACTTAAATTCAATTGAAACTTTAAAGTAACTTTAAAGTTTTTAGTTTTAAATTGAAGTTTTTTAA